TCACAAAACACCGATACATATTCCAAAAATAATAACAATAACATCAAAAAGCTGTAACCAAAAGATTAACCCAAGTCCAAAGCTGGGTTATAATCGGTTATAAGTGGTAAATACCAAAAGCAAATCAGCTGATATGTGACGTCACAACTTCCCCTACTTTGGTTAAAACCGCGACGGCGGAAATGCATTGGTTATAACACAGCCTCCTATAGTTAAATGTAGGGGGCTGTGGTTATAACCAAATAATAATCATTCCAGGCTGAAAATCGCCTTAAGTAAACCTTTACATACAGTGGCGACAATAGTGGTCTCGACGCCATTTTATAGCCTACCTCTTGCTACTCTTAAATATGAATATATATAGGATTAAAATGGCATCCATCATGAAAAATTGAAAGCAACGTATTTGATGTACCTAATAATAGTCATCGGATACGTTTTTTTCACTTTTTTATGATGGATGTCTATTTAAATCGTATGTATTCATATTTAAAATTAGCAAGAGGTAGGCTATTAATGGCCGTTTCCACCAACTTTTTGAGGGGAGCCCTAACGATAAGTATTCCTTAAACTGACATTCCTCCATGTAAAATTGTCATTTTAGGGAATACTTCTCGTTAAGGCTTCCCTAAAATAGTTGCAGGTGGAAACATCCATTAGTCTATTATTTATTTTATTTATGTTCACCTTCTATTTTCGTCTTCTATCGTTCTCTTTCTCTATTACGTGCAGATAGAAACAGATACAAAATACAAATTGACACTTTCAATTAGAGTGTGGTGTGCCGAATTTAGAATTTAAGGCCTGGACTTTTATTGTTGTTTCAACAGAATAATTGTGAAAATGAAATAGGAATTCCGGAGCTAAGAAAACTGGATATTTTTCATACCGTTTTTGATAAAATTTTGCAAATCATATTTTCCTCTTACCCCTAAAAAAAAAGAATTGCACTGGTTGGTGCATATCGGATTTTTTTTGAGGGAAACAGTGAATAGTTTCCTAGAAACAGCACACCCGATATTTCCTCGAAAAACTGTCCAAACATGTACTTTTTCTGTTCCGTATGGAATTTCAGAAGAAAAAGATAACATTTGTAATATCTTTTTCTGACAGATCCAGAGAAAATCGAGCAAAAGGCTCAAACCATTCAACACAAAACTTTTGAGCTTTACTGTAAGGGCCGTTTTATTCACCTTCCAATAAACTGTCAGGTATGCAATCTGATGGATAAAAACGCAATTAAAGAAGTTGATATAAAAAAATCAAAATATTTGTTCATAAAACCGGCTAGAAATTTCCAGATTGTTCGATGCAAGATCTCTACGAAACCGATTGCACTCAGCAGGGCGAAAAAATGCCGCATCAGTTTTCCAATGCTATATGAAAACCTGCTCTGAAATGGCCGATGGTTGTCAAATAATGCGCACCAATTAGGAATAAAATTTGCTATATGACAGATTGTAAGGTTTGTCGTCTTAAATGTAAAGCTCTGTTCCAACACGTCAAAAACCATCCCGTGAACGGTTTCGAAAGCTCTCAAGTATACGAATTTCCGATTCTACGCACAAATTTTACGCTTTGCGCAGAATCGCGACAGTATATTGTACGGTTTCCTGCTGTGTTGAAACAAAGCTTTTCCGATTGGTAGTTTTAGGCTCGTCGCACATGGAGCTATCCATGAAAAACGAAACTAAGTAGAGACGCCAGTTAAAAACTAGTTGGATACTCAATTCTCGTACGGGACGAGGATCGAAAATAAAAGCGTTTGTTCAGTGTAGTGTACGCAAGCTTGGTCATTCATTTCGTTTTTCGTCATTTCACTACACACATTTTGAAAAAAATCTCCAACAAATCCTGGCGCGACCGACAGTTCGAGTCTCTTGGCGATTTATCACTAACTAGTAGCGTACGGGTCGGTTACTAGTAGCGCCGTGTGCGACATTCGATTTGAGTACACATGCCGTGGACTTGCAAAACACTGTCAAGTGATTATAGTTTAATTTCATAGCGTTTTCCATTTGTCGAATCAGGGCAAAAAAAATGTATCCTTATCCTTATACGTTACATGCTTTTAGAAAAAGATGCGGATACACTCAGTGCGGCACTGATGACAAATGGAAATCGCCATTAGTTTCATACCAGTAGCTCCGTGTGCGACGGGCCTTAATGCGCACGTGTATCTCCATCTCTTACCCTCAGCCTGTTAAAGAAACAGATAGAAGTAGATTTCCGTTGCTAATGGCCGTTTCCACCAACTATTTTAGGAAAGCTTTAACGATAAGTATTCTCTAAACTGACAATTTTCCATGGAGAACTGTCAGTTTAGGCTTCCGTAAAATAGTTGGTGGAACGGACTCTACCAACCGAAAACGCTATAAGAATTATTTGTAAAATAAACAGACATCTAACCTCACATTTACACTACACATGTATTTACTAGTTTTCAGTAAAATCACAGTTTGTAATTTGTAACTTGTTTGTAAAATGTTGAATATTTTACAGGGGCTTTAGATGGCTTACAGAGAGGATATTTGTTAATAGGTAAGCAAACCTAAAATTGCACATACTTTGTACTGGACCTACAATTTCAGAATGTATTTAGATAGAAAGCCCCCCAATCAATAACAAGCCTACCCAAATCAACTATTCAGTAATAAACTAATACTACAGGGTAAGTTATTTGACTCAAATATAAACTCCTTATCACTTTGAGCAAATTATTTTCAGATAATTAAAAGGCGATAATAAATATGTAATTAGTCACAATACGTGAAACCAGTAGAAGTCTTGTGGCTAGAAAAACCAAAGAGCATCAATAGCTGAACTTTAAAAATGATGAAATTCATGTGAAAATTTAAGGAAAAACAAAATTTGTTTATTTATACAAACAATCAATAAAAATAAACTTAATGTCAGAAAATCAGAAGAAGAAAGTTTTATTTAGAAGTGAATACTTGAAGCTTCATTATGCTTAGGATTACAAAAATATTCATTAATGAACACAAACGTAGATAAAATGTAAAAAAATTTCACAAAAAGATAATAAAAACAAACAGACAAATTTTTATAGAATCGGTCCCAAGATGCAAAAACAAATAATCAAACATTTCAAAATAAAATGAGCACTACTAGGCAATACCCAATTTTAAAGTTTCATTTTGATTGCTATTTTGTTTCTAGATCAAGGCAATTGTATACGTTCAGTAATTATTATGTATTCAAACATTCTAAAATATCTGCCAAGATTTTCAAAATTAGTTACTGATTTATTGTAAACTTTAATACCTTGGTATATCAGAGAATTTTGTTGAAAGTGAATTTAGGTAATGGTGATGGAATATTATTAAAATGTCTTGTTGGAACGCATTTGTGTAGAATCCTTATATTTTTTGTAGACAAGACAAACTGTCTCAAGTATATAAAGGCAAATTAGTAAGACTTAAGCTGGATTTATACAGCAAATAAAATAAAATAAGATAACATAAGATAAAATAACAAATACATAACTAATGCATTTCTTATTATATTTATTTTCTGTATAAACACTTTAATGGCATCTCATGAGGTTAACTGTTATTTCTTATTTTATCTTATTTTATTTTATTTGCTGTATAAATCCAGCTTTAAAATCTTCTCTATTTCAAACAATGGCCTACAGTGCTCTCTTAGACCTGCTCCACAGTCATGTCTAACACAAAGCTTCTGTAAAATAAAGACGAATTCCACAATTCCACCATTTTATAGTCATCTACAAGCTTTTGAATATGCCATTTGCAATAATTATTAGTTCTACAAAAGTTTTATTCCTCGGAACAGAACCCACTGGTAAGATATCAAAGCTGGCCCCATTAGAATGGCTTTCCGGACTTAACTGGTGGCGATAAGAATAATAGGCTCTGGAATGGAAATAGCACGATCTTGACCGTCCTTGAAGGCACGATTTTTGAACTTAAGGGTATCCAATAGATCGTTTATGATGGTTTCAAGGAATTCTTCAAGTACTAGTACCTCTGCTACTTGTGTTACGGCTTCCTCATTATCTCAAAGTGAAGTTAAGGAGTAAATCTTCAATTGCTTGAGCCAAGTCACATTGGCATGAAGCTAAGCATAATATAGTTGAATATTGATGTTTTTAAATTTTCTTTAAACAGAATATAGTAGAGATAATTTGGGAGGATCTGAAGGGTTTGCTTTGAATTTATCAAGTGGTGGTCTCAATTGTCAAGGTGACAGACAATAAGGCAGATCTCCAGTTATACAACGTCTCTCTAATTGTTCACCATTGCACTCGATCGGGTGCGCTATTAGAGAGCCTTTGGAGTATGATAAACCTGTGCATCATACAATTGAAACTGTATCTTGAGATTTGTCTTGATAAAAAATGTGTAGTTTTCAAGTTCCTGGAAGAAGCTTTTAGAGGTTTTAAGCTGGATTTATAGTGTCAGTATCATTAACAGTAAAATATTAGAACACGGCCGACTGTAAAGCCATTTATAATTCACTTAACAAACTTATCAGTAAAACTTAAGAAATGGTTATTTTCATGTCTGTTTTTAAGTTTTAAGTTACTGCCACTGTTACTGATACTGACACTATAAATTCAGCTTTACGAGAATTTGAATTTGAAACCATCTGCTCCCGAAATGAAGTTGACGAATGTCAATTATGACTTTCGACAAAATTGACATAACATGGACGGAGCTTCGGTTTACGAGTTTTTTACTGTACACAACGAAATGCGACGTTTTATTTATTAAAATTTCGTAGTTGGCCCTCTTGAAAAACAAAACCACAAACATAATATAGAAATTCAAAAACATTATTGAAACAATGAAGGGAAATCGTCCCAGGCTTAGCAGACAGCTATGGTCGACTCGACTCTCTAACTTTTATTTAATTCTGTCTGCTATGCGACGAATGATTTCCCATTTGAATATTTTACAGATAAAAAAATCAACTTTCAAGATTTGAAACATTTATTTACAAAAATAATTTATTGTCATACTTCCACGACCCATCCATCTTCTAAACTAGAAAATCTCCTTCAATCAGGTGGCTCCTTCTCTTCAGTCGGACCGGAAACTTCAAATTCCAAAACCAAGTCGACCATGGCTTTATCCTCAGCATTTAGCTGGGCTTTGGACAAATCGATGTAGGCTGGCTTTGGCTCGGAGAATTCAGGAGGAATCTCCAAAATTGCCAATTTGTCTTTGGTGCATCTGGTTAGTTTACCTCGCATGATTGCTCGATGTGGTCTCAGCGCTCTAGGGATATTTGCTTCTTTTTTGGCTAAAAAATATTTACAATATAATAAAATTTGTTTTAAGTAACCATTTGAGCATACCCTTTTCTTCTATTTCCCTCATTTGTTGGCTTAAGCAAATCTTGCCTTTTTTCTTTTTGAATCCTTTCATCTCTTGATCTTTTATCCCTTGTTCTCTCGGCATCGCCACCAGTTTTTAAAATTTTCCCTTTTCTGCTCCAAACCTCTGGTTTTCACTTTTCCGTCCTGTCTCTTCTTCTTCTTTGGCCCTATTAATTGGGGATCCTAGTTCAAGTTTTAGTTCATTAAATGGCCGTTTTCACCAACCATTCCAGAAGGTTGGTTCAAACGGCCATTATTAATTTCAATAGGTCCCTTTCACTTTTCCCTAAAACATTTTCAAATCATTCTGTTTTCATTTTAATAACACCTGTATAATTTTTTCCAGAAAACAACACTTATTTTTGAAAACAAAATGATTTGGAAATCGATCTTTTTAACTGTTGCGAAGACGCGGGAAAGTGTAGTGTGGCAAACGGCGCATGAATATCGGCTTCAGCCAATGAGACGGTGTTTTCCATTATTCGTAGAACCAGTGCAAAAAAAAACCCTTTTCCTTATATTTTACATGCTTTTAGAAAAAGATGCGCATACACTCAGTGTGCAGTACTGATTGACAAATCGAAATCGCCATTATTTAATTTAATTGATAATCTGACTAAAATATTGTTCATTCTCGGTTGCATCCATGCATCTGCGTCAAAAAATATCATAATTTGCCATATTGCTATTTCCTGGCAAGTGAAAGTGCCCAGTAGCAAGGTTGTTTGGAAGAGGAAAGTTGCCTAATAAGAATAACTTCAATGACGACATCTGGATGCCTAAACATAATGCAAATCTTCATTAGATGACGTCATCTGTTTACCATTAGCAAACCAAGGAGAACACACACTCTTAGGATTGCTGTGTGTGTCACCATTTCCGACTTTATAACTAAGTCGTCAGCTGTTTGCACTAGGGGTCGTAGTTTAGAATTTAAATTTATTATGAAAAATATTATTTAATTTTGATTAACATAATAGGCAAAGAGGAAGATAAAAACGATATCTAAAAACGAATTTTTTTAGAATGTTAGTTATTGTAGTAAAACCAAGTATACATAAAGCAAAAGCCCGCGGAATCATAACCTGTGATGCAAACAGCCTACGCCAAGGCGAGAAAGGACATGCTGCCTATGTCACAATTGGTGATTTGGCGTGGTGGGGGGGCTTCAGATTTGTTCCACACAGGCCTTATGAGGATAGGCAATCTTGTAGTTAGATCTCGTTTTGCCTATTATGTTAATCAAAATTAAATAATATTTTTCATCATTTGAATTCTAAACCACGACCGCTAGTGCAAACAACTGACGAGTTAGTTATTACGTCGGAAATGGTGACACGCCAATATGGCGGCGATTACCACCAACGAGGCCGATAAGCAATCCTAAGAGTGTGTATTCTCCTTGGTTTGCTAATGGTAAACAGATGACGTCATCTAATGGAGATTTGCATTATGTTTAGGCATCCAAATGACGTCATAGAAGTTATCAGGCAACCTTTCTCTTCCAAACAACCTTGCTACTGGGCACTTTCACTTGCCAGGAAATAGCAATACGGCAAAATATGATATTTTTTGACGCAGATACCTACATGGATGCAACCGAGAATGAACAATATTTTAGTCAGATTATTAAATAAATTGATAAATAATGGCGATTTCGATTTGTCAATCAGGACTGCACACTGAGTTTATGCGCATCTTTTTCTAAAAGCATGTAAAATATAAGGATAAGGGTACTTTTTTGCACTGGTTCTACAAATTAGAGGTGGGAAACTATCGATGGTAATTATCGATATATCGATAGTTTGCAACACTATCGAACTATCGATAGTTCTACTTGGACAATCGATAGCAGACCTTCTGTGTTTTCTTATGTCAGCAATGTCAAGTGTTAAAAAATTTACAGCTCAGCTACACTTCATTTCAGTTCATAGTGGTGTTTTTTTGTTTTTTTTTTCACTTCCAGTTAAATTAAACATTGTTATTCACAATATTAACTTCCATCTGGGTATTGTTTCTTTAGGTCTGGTTGTGTTTCTGTTGTAGGGCGTAGGGGTAGGACCTTCATCTGCAGACTGCAATCTGTTTTTTAGGGGTGTAGACTGTTGAGCTCATTAACTAACATTTTGGCTTGCCCTGACTTGCTATTCGCGGAACCCCCAAATACAAAAAGGGTCAAAAACGTATTTTTTTTTTTAAAATCGATAGTTATATCGATACATCGATAGTTTTCATTCGTTACTATCGATAGTTAGGTTCTTCTATAGTTTCCCACCTCTACTACAAATAATGGAAAACGCCATCTCATTGGCTGAAGCCGATATTCATGCGCCGTGTGCCACATTACACTTTCCCGCGTTTTCGCAACAGTTAAAAAGATCGATTTCCAAATCATTTTATTTTCAAAAATAAGTGTTGTTTTCTGCAAAAAAGTATACAGATGTTATTAAAATGAAAACAAAATGATTTAAAAATGTTTTTGAAAAATGTGAAAGGGGCCTATTGAAATTAATAATGGCCGTTTGAACAAATCTTTTGAAATGGTTGGTGAAAATGGCCATTTAATGACTAAAACTTGAACTAGGAACCCCAACTAATAGCGCCAAAGAAGAAGAAGAGACAGGACGGAAAAGTGAAAACCAAAAGTTTGGAGCAGAAAAGGGAAAATTTTAAAAACGAGGCTATGCCGAGAGAACAAGGGTCAAAAGATCAACAGGTGAAAAGATTGAAAAAGAACAGATGAGGGAAATAGAAGAAGAGGGAATCATAACCACAGCCTACGCCAAGGCGAGAAAGGACATGCTGCTACGTCACGATTGGTGATTTGGCGTGGTGGGGGGGGCTTCAGATTTGTTCCACACATGCGTTATGAGGATAGGCTATCCTGTGTTGTAGTGTTTATTATCCTTGTTAGCAAACAACCTATTAACTTCAGGAACCTTATTGCGCCAGTAGTATTCTTTGTGTCACGGTTCAAATTGACACTGGAGGTAAAACAACCTCACCTTGTCCCATTTGTTCACATGCAGTTGGAGTGTTTTCGTTTTTTTAGATTTTTTTCGGTGTTTGAGTAATATTTTCGTATGATTTCTTATTTAATAGTTTATAAAGACATTTACTGACCCGTCTTATTGGGTCGCAGTACAGCAGAGACATGGGAGAGTTGTTGGTTAGAATAGAATAAGGGTCCATCCTGCGCAAGGAGAATACACATTCTAAGGAGTGCTTATCGGCCTCGTTTTTAGTAATCGCCGCCATATTGGTTTTCAATTGTTTTCAACCATTGTTGACGTCATAACTAAGTCGTCATCTGTTTAAGCAGCTCACCTCAAGGCGAGAAACGCCATGCTGCTTACGTCACACAGGCCTTATGAGGATAGGCCATCCTGTAGTAGTAGTGTGTATCATCCTTGCATCCTGCGCAACTGGCCGAATTTGAAGGACCGCTATTTCTATCACTTGTCAAATTCGGTGTTGGAAAAATAGGTCATGAACCACTCATAACTCCAAAAATAAGCAGAAATAACAAAAATAATTCTTTTAAAACACCACTCTGATAAAAATATCTCAGAAAAAGCAGGAAAAATCGCCAAAAACAACAATCTGTAACCAACCAAAAGTGAGGTTATGTATGTTGTGAAAAATCTATCGAGTGAAGTCGTCAACGTAAAAAGTAATGGCGTTTCCGATTGGTAGATTTAAAGCGCACTGAGTGTATTTTCATCCTTTTTCATCAACCTGTAGAAGAAAAAGACAGAAATCAAAAAAACTGCACTAGATATACTAATCGGAAACAGCATAAGCAAAAAGTGGTAAAAATGGCGGCACCCTATGCGTTACCATAAAATCGGATGCGCAGTCGTCTAAGCGCATTCTATTTCCCTCACATATCTCTTCAGTACAGTGACTTAATAAATCTGTACAAACCAATGAACTATAGCCAAAAACTGGAATGCGCACACATTACCATATCTGCCTAAAAAATGAAGCCATGAAAGACAGATGCCACAAAGGGGAATGTTGTTTTTTTCTGTAACTCCTGACATATGACGTTTTGGAAAGTTTTGTCATATTTACCTTCACAGATTCCATCAGTTGGAATGTTGGAAGCAATTTCCGCCATTTAACATAATGAGTGCGACAAAAACAGGTATCCCGTCCGCAGCAGCGGCACTAGGCTTCACGTTCGTCAATATGTGTTCGCATTCCAGTTTTTGGTTATAGTTCATTGGTACAAACAGTGGCGACAATAGAGGTCCCGGCCAGGGCTCCTAAAGTTAATAGATTGTCTGGTAATGGTAAACAGATTACGTTATCAGGAGGATCTAATGGAGATTTGCATTATGTTTAGGCCTTTCAGATGACGTCATAAAAGTTAGCAGCCTACTTTTTTCAAACAACCATGGGTCCTGCCGCCATTTTGTGCCCCACCTCTTGCTATTTTTAAATATGAATATATAGGATTTAAATGGACATATATCATAAAAAATTGAAAACAACGAATTTGATGACTAGTATTAGGTATGTCAAATATCAAATAGGTACGTTGTTTTCCATTTTTCATGATAGATGTTCACCTAAATCCTATATATTCATATTTAAAATTAGCAAGAAGAGGGGCACAAAATGGCGGCGTTTTCAATATGAATATATAGGATTTCACAACCAATCAAAAATAACACAATTGTCGCTACTTTGGTTCAATAAGGTCACTGTAGGTCGCAGTAGAGCGGTAAAAACGAGCTATCTGCGGCCAAGCAATATGGGGCCGGATTGCAAGTTGGATGGGTGACCGCCGTGTCACCCGATGCACAAGCTAAGTTAGGGCCGGTTTCTCAATAGCAGGTCACCTCCGGGTTAAGCTAACTCCAGGGTAAATATTGCAATTTGAAATGTTAACCCTGGAGTTAAAACTAACCAGAAGGGAATCTAAAAACACACAGGGCCGAATTTATAGTCGCTCCATGAGGATTTAAGTTTCACGAATAGTCAGTCAAAGATGCAAAAAAGTCAATTTTCAACTCTCAATATTTCCAAAACTGTTGATGATAAGTACTTATAGGACATTGTACATGAAATATGTCCAGAATTTTCCGCAGAATCCATAAATGTCATAATATACAGGGAGGAGTATCATTTAAAAAATAAACTTGCTAATGGTTCAGCTGTTTTTGGAACACCCTGTATAAAAAAATTGGTATAAAAAAATCTCAAGCAAAAGACAAAATCGACGTGTCTGCGCGTTTTTTCGAAAAGGCCTCCATTTATTTATTAGGTATTATCGAATTTATTCTATTTGGCTGATACACACTGTATATGCTAGTATGCTATCAAAACATTCCAAGTAGGTATAAAATAATAAAATCTGACCACAAAAAATCAAAAAAACGAGAAC